GGGGGGGGGGGGGGGCGATGAGAAAACGTTTAGTTGTGGATTCAAGGATGTGTAGATTTTTTGACTTTTTTCTTTGGTACGCTTTGTCGCCGTAGATTTAAGTTGGCAGCACCGGTACTCCTATGGTCGTTACGTACCCGGTCGGTAACGTCACTTCCAGCGGTTGTATTGTCCTGGTAATTTATGATATAAAGTCGTGATCAGTCTTCGATGGTTACTCTAACGTTTCTGTACTGACTATTTCGATTCTCGCTGCTGCCAAGTGTATAGAGAATGACTGGGCCAGCACAATCGAGCTGGTCCTCAAAAATTCATTAAGTCCGTCGGTACCGTTACTTGGGAATATAATGGCAGGGACGAGCTCGCTCGTTAACTCAAGCATTCACTTTGTGCGTCGGATTGCGTTCTGAAACACGAGACCGCGATGAGTTGACGTGCGCGGTCCATCTGGCAATGTAATTTCTCGACTGACGTTCCCGCCTTTCATAATCGCTGACATCTCGTTATCGAATTTTTCATTTTCGATCTGCACCGCCCGATAAATCTTTATATCATACAACAATACAAAGCAGACTGTATACCGGTTTGAAAAATTTTTTCAAATTTTGTTTCCAATTAAAAATTTTTTTTTCTCTTTTTTTTTGAAAGTAAAAATATTTCTGTAGATTCCGACTTTGACGGAGTGAAAATTTTTAGAAAATTTTTTTAACGTTTCAGTCACGCTGATTTTAATCTTGGACGTGTAAATGGATCCTTTGTGTACGGTGGGGCGTATTAGTGTATTTATGTATGGTTTACATTGTATGCCTGGTTGGTATCATGTGTGTACGTATGTGAAATACGTAGGTTAGCTCAACAGAAATCAGTTGCGACAGACCTACGCCAATGTACCGTAACCACTGTCGGTAATTGCCATTGCTATTATAATAAACATGACCTATTAAAATTAAATCAACTTCTCATTAGAAACAGAAATGCCGATACTGACTCCAGGCGAGTTAGAAGGTTGATAATTTTTTTTAAATATTTTCCTGCGAATTCTTGCTAGTCGTCCACGCGCATGATACACGTATGTCCGATATGATTTTTTAACAAAAATTTGCATTAGTATCGATTACTAATACGATACCAAATAATTATCATCGATCGCCATGATTTTCAAAGTCATCAATAATTTTATCGGTCCCTAGTCTCAAAATCATTTAATAATTTTTCGATTACGGTGCTTCGACGAAACCCGAAAACGCGTCCAAGATCAAAGCGTCACGCGCATGCGCATTGGCTGCCAATCGGTAAACAGCAATTACGCATTGCCAGTCGAGAAATTATATTAGTGCGATCCAGCGATACGGTTGATATGGAATTTCCCATGTGGGCGATACCTAACCTCCAAGTACCATTAAGTCGATGACAAAGTAGCGTATGGATTTTTTTTGTCGAAATGAAAAATTTTGAAAAATGAATATAAAGCGCGAAACTACGTTGCCGCGCAGTGCTGCCAACATAATAGACGCGAACATAGTTGGAGCAATGAAAATTCAATGACTCGAGCAATTTGAGCTCGACTCTCTGCGCGCAAGCTGCAATCTGAAAGTATAAACAGTAGTTGAGGGACTCCATGGTTAACCTATAGGGTCTCATACACGTATGTACGTGGCATAAGGTTTTCTTATGGTGGTTGTGACGTAGGCCATGGTGGTGGTAACGCTTGCGGACCGTAATCGCGTAATTTGCGTGTAACGATGCAATTTGTAGTTACGGCTCGACTTTTTGCCGCGACACACGGCCGCGCTCGTATGGACGTCGACGTTTGCGGGGACGCCCTTAATCGAAAATATACCTACGATGATACGCCTTTGAGACGAAAGGGCTGTCGCTCGTATGCCTGCACCCCTTTTATGCGTACTGCGCATGCGTCACGTGTCCGAAGCTCAGTACGCGTGCGCAGAAGTTACATTTGAACATTGTGAAAATGCAAATTTTTGACAAATATCGCATTTTCGAATATTTCGTGAATTTATTTTTCCACATTTTTTTTGGACCAATTTTACATTTCTTTGAGCCGGGGCACGTCGGACGGGACTGATTTAATGAGAAAAAAAATGAATAGTCCAAATAAAGGCAAGAAAGGCTCTCTTCAAACTATCCTATTGTACGATTGTCAGTCGTATCAAACCGCAGCAACAGCAATGACTCCTGAGCCAGCAACGGCTGTACAGTCGGGTTCAGCTTTAATTAAAATCAACTCACACGCACTCGTGTCACCTTTTAACCTCCGCGCGACGACGTACCCGCCGACTCTCTCACGTGTGTCCCACGTGCTTTTACGAGCCGGAGTTTATTACTCGCTCACTGTTTATTAAATTGAATTGTGTTGGGTATCCGTCGACAACCCCGCGAACGCGTAACGCACCGCCGGTAAGGGAGTGGAGCAGCCCCTCTTCGCTGTCACACTTAACACAGAGCGATTCAGCTGAAAGCACTCATTAAGCTTATAGGTACGTAGGCCCCTTCGCGGTTATGGCAATTTGTACGAGCACATTCGTGAAGTCATTGCGTTACGATAATTGAAAAAAAAAAAAAAATTGACGGATCAATTACGAATAACGACCGTATAATAATTTGACAAAATTTATTTAAATTGAAACATTTTTTTTGCTATTAAATTTTTTTTTATAAACTCGAAATTTTTCTAAAAAATTTTTTTACGGTTAATGCATTCGAGGGTCGATTCGAAGCTTGAATTCAAAATTGAGCCGGGTCAGTGATTTTCCATGGATACTTATTTTGAAAAAAGAAATCTGTCTCAATTCGTTATACAGGCGCAGGTATGGCTCGTAGGTTGTCAGGCACGCTCTGCAAGTTGACCTCGAGGTGCAGTGGCCCGAGTGCATTGTGCAGGCTGGGCACAAATTTGCGTAATCACGTGTCATTGTTCAGCGTCGGTGCGAGAGGCTTGTATACGTCTGAGGTTGTACACGCGTGTTCACGCGAGAGGAAGTGCAGTGCGGAGTCGCGTGCTGTCGAAGTTAAATGCTCAAGTCTGAGCCTGGGGTCGCGAGGAACAGAAGTCACTTCCGACCGTGGGATCCAAGGAGATTGCAGAAATTGTTTGCTCTTTTTTTCGGAAAAAAAAACTTGACAGAAAAGTCAAGTTGAATTTTTGAGTATAAAATTTTTTTTTACTAAACCAAAAAAAAATCTTAAATTTCCCGCCATGCATTATTTCCTCTCTCGCGCATGCGCACCTATCCTACTCCCGGGGCTCTTTTTTTTTCTTATTTACGTCCTCGAGGACGCCTCGTAAATCAGCGTCCCGACGCATCCAGCTGGACGCACGATATATCCCGTACTGTATTATTCCTGGCATTGCGAAAGATTCGTATTAATCATCCCCGCCACCAGCATCCCTACGTGGGAGATTCTCATCAACGGATTTCGATCACGTTAGTATTTCCTTGTTGGATAATACATTTCTATGGCTTTCTCGTATCCTTGTGAATTAATACGCCAGGTGTGTATGACTGGTCTGGGATCAGTTCTGAAGTCATTTCTAGATCCAGTACGATGATCGTCCTTATAACGATTATGAGATGCGAGCAAATCATTCAACCATGTAGATGATGATTAGTTTTTATCGCCACTGCTGTATATATTTTTTTTCTTTTTCTTTTATATTTTCCTTTTTTTTTTACATGAATGTCACTCATGATTGTCGTGTTTTTCTATCAGGATGCAAGAGCTTCTTCAAGAGGAGTGTCAGGAGGAACTTGACGTACTCGTGTCGAGGGAACAGGAACTGCCCCATCGACCAACACCATAGAAATCAGTGCCAGTACTGCCGGCTGAGAAAGTGCATCAAGATGGGCATGCGCCGGGAAGGTATGCATTGTACTGAACCCTTTTATTGAACTTATTAAAAAGAAAGTGAATGGGGAGTGAAGGTGCGTCGGGGACACGTATGGGACATTGTGAATACGTGTTCAGTTATATTGCGCAAGATGATTCTTCGTGTTGTCACGGAAATCTTTAGTGGGGATTGTACTTGAAATTTTTATTTTCAAAGTCAATTACGTCGTAGAGCCTTTTGTTAGGTTTGAGACGAGACAGAGAGGTTGGCTTTTGTTTTTGCGTAGGATCTACGATCCTTTTGTTTTTTTGTTTTATTTTGCAATTTAAATTCATATTTCGACCAGACGGGGTCATCTTTGGATCCTCATTTGTATTTTATTCTAAAATCGTGTTATATTTTGTGGCGATACGAAGAATCGATTTTTACTGTAAACAGAAAAAAAATTATTGAAAAATTATATTTTCTTGGAATGTTCCTCGATACATTTTGAACACTCTCGAGCTCGAGCACACCGTTCCGTAAGAATTTAAAGGAAATTGGAAAAATTAAATATGCTGATCGCGATTACGGTGTGGACGAGCTTTTAGTTACTGGTTAAAAATATTAGCGTTAGATGGTTTATACATATATATTTTTTTTTTATTAATAATGAAGATTAATTAATCGTCGTTTCTGATCTCTGTTATCTGGGAAATTTAAGCACATGTGTAACTCAGAGCAGCGTTCCGTAAATATTTCTCAGCGTTTACCTCAAAGAAAGTAAAAGTATAATTGCCTCCGTTCAAGTTAAAAAAAAGAAAGAAAGACAAAAGAAAAAAAAAGGAGAGCGAGAGTCTCAAAGAGGGGCTCGCTTACAAAATCGCGGTTAGCTTCATAAAAACCCGAAGTAAAAATGAAGTCAACGGGCCCAAAACGAATTCGAGGCGAAGGTAATGACCGAGTGTATTATTTTAACCCGCCACATCAGTAGTACCAACCGTTTGTAACGAATAGCCGAAAGCAGATTACAGACCAAAATCGTAGATAACTTTCGAAAACGTAAATGCATATTCATAGTACAGCAATTCGTGATTCGGCAAACGTACAATAGGTCCCTACGACTATGCATAAGGCCCAAACACAAGAAAATGTTACGAACCAAATACAA